TTTTTTTTTTTTTTGGTTGGGTTAACCATTGAATTTATTATGTACTACATTATCATTTTATTGTAACTTTTACTAGTCTTACATATATTCTGGACTAATTTATTTGCAGTTAGACAACACCAGGCTAATTCGCATGCCAAAAAAGGGTGGGAACAGTTTACTGATGCTGTAATTGGAGCGATTTCACAGAATAGAGAAGGAGTTGTTTTTCTCCTTTGGGGAAACTATGCTCAGGCCAAATCAAGGTAACTTTATCTAGTTACATGATTAATAAACTGTCAACGTGGTTTTTGATGAATGGGAGATGAGCAGCTCTGAATTTGGGACGTTTGGTAGAATAAGGCTTTTGGTTTTGGGCTACGAATGCACTTATTGGATTTGGATCGAGGGCAATCTTCCATGTGAAAGACGGGAATGAACAGTGCATGTTTGGGAGCAATTTTGTAAAAATCTTATTTTTAAATGGACTTATGCAAAATGGACTTCTCCAAAAGTGTTCATCATTTACTTATATAGAATGGACTTTTTGGAGAAACAACTTATCCATAGGTCCATTCTTAATTTAGCACCAAAACATAAATTATTTTATCCAAATGGACTTTTTGGATGCGAAAGTCCAGTTGAGAAGTGTTTCCAAACAAGCCCTTATAATATCTTCCATTATTTCACTTGCCATTATTATATCAAATGAGGCATTCATGAGTGGCATTTCTTATATATCAAATGATCCTTTTTTTTTTTTTTTTCTTTTGAAAATTCTGTGCTGTTTCGGAGGTTCTGTGTTAGACCCTGTGAAATAGTAACTTATATCGTAGAAACTGGGAAATAGATTCAATTGAATGAATAACAAATGAATGTATTAAGGTGGTGATTGGATATGGAATAATTTCATTTTTGTTTGGCGGACAAGATTTATTATGTTGAAATATTCTTTCTCCTCTTTTTTCTTTCCAATCCCATCAACATAATTTGAAAATAAATATAAATCATTATTGTACATTTTCCAAACACTATTCTCCTACTCACATCTCCCTAACTACTAATAATTAAAAATTATTGTATTTTTATTTTGATATCACATTAACTTTTATTATTTTATTTCACAACCTAAAAAATATCCACTTTTCTTAAAAGAAAATTTTCCCACTCTTTCTTCTCTATTGTTGGGATGAGATGAATTTTATTTTTTTTTAAAAGGACAGCTAAGTTTCTCCGATGAAATTGTTTGTGCAGGTTGATAGATGAATCTAAACACTATGTACTCAAATCAGCACATCCTTCTGGTTTATCTGCAAATAGAGGCTTTTTTGGATGCAGGTTGGTGTATGAAATGCTTATTATATCTTATGTTGCATAAGATTCATTACGATGATATATCCAATGCATTTGCCAATATATTGGGTTGGTAATATGAAAATTAGTCCTCATAACTTATTTGGAAATTTTGGTTTAATCTATGATCAAGTTGCTTAAGCAAAATAAATAATTATCACATAGAAAGTGCGAGCTTTGAGAAAATAATTTATTTTATTTTATCTTTTAATCTCTGCGTCCATTATTCATGACATTGTAACAACGGGGTTAGGCTTCCATTTTTCCACAAACTTTGTGTTTGCATTTTGCAAGCAGATGAGAATTAAATTGTAGGATAAACTTACTGGCTTGGAAAGACTTAAACTAGACAAAATAGCATTTACCTAAAGCACACGCCTGAAAAAGATAAAACCAGTAATTCTCTAGTTATAGTGGGTGCGGAAAATTCTTTTGCTCTATTATAGCTTTGGATTAATCAGTCTACATTATCCAAACTTCTAGAAACCTTGCCGAACTTCAACTTGTCCAGACAACCAATTGAAAAATGATAATTTATGTTAATTTTTTATACAAGGCAATTCTCGAGTTGTAATTCATCGTGTTGGCTTGTGAATTAGAAGCCTATTGTAAAGCCTCCTCATAGGGATAAAAATGCCGAAGGTACAAATTTTGTATGTCTTCCAATATTTTTTGGTGTCATTGTCTGCCTGCAATTTTTCATTTAAGCATTTACGTTTTGGCCTTTGTTGCAACGTTTAACTCATGATGCAGGCATTTCTCTCGTACAAACCAGATCTTGGAGGAAATGGGAATTCCTCCAATCGATTGGCAGTTGTAGTGCCATTGCCATAATTGGCAACATCATCCGAGTCTTGTGCGTTCGTACACAATGCTCTTCAAGAAAAGGATGCTAGATTTATAATATTGCGTTTTGTATCTTGTCAACTCTCAAGCTTAGGTATGGATATATTTCATAATTTCATCCTTCTTGTTGGGACTCTGTTATCTCTATGCATGAAGAATATGTATATACATAGAATCTTCAAAATTATAACCTTAGCAAGCTAGTTTTGGTGTTCCTCAATTGATTAATGTTTACAGTACCCGATAACATATCCACTTCCGTATCAATCAATTTTGAAACACTCGAACTTACGTCAAATGATGCCTTCAGTTGCCAACTTATAAGTCGTTAAGTATCTATATATATATATATATATATAATTGTTGGCTCATGAGCATTTAATAAAACCTATTAAATTATACCTATGTGGCAATATAAATTTTTCCCTCTAAAAAACGTTACTTTTTATTTATTTAACCTCTCATTTAATTATTAGATAATCAACATATTAATTACTTCAAAAAAAAAATCATTTTAAATTATTGCCACGTGATTAGATGTTATTATTGTGGTTACATATAAATATTAACTTCTTTTGGAAAATAAAAAATGTATTTGACATTCTTAAATAAATAATAAATAATTTACAAAAAAAAAGATGCATACCAAAATATACCTTACATCCAATATGATAAATGCAATTTAAAAAAATAAATATTTCAGCTCCTTTAATTGTAAATTTAGCAAAAATTCATTATATTCATACAAATAACTCACAATACTTTATTTATATATCTGTGCAAATGCACAAGTCTAATACTAGTTAAATTAAGAAGGGGACGAGTACAAAATTGTTGCGCAAAAAATTACCCAACAATGTGCCGTGATCATAAAAACATCCCAATATCCTCTTACATCAGCTCGGAACGACTTATACTCCATCTCACATGTGGCTGGCGGATTGGTCGTTTCAAAATAATTTGATCACGGCAAGATTATCATATCAATTCATAAATAACTTGCGGTTTTTGAGCCATTCCATTAATTTCAGTACCATAACCATTATTTTAGAAGCAGCCATTACAGTCTCATGTTTCACAAAATCAGCCAACAAATGAAGAGAAAATTGAGTAAAGATGCAGAAGGGCTCCAACAGAATCAAATATCTTTCACTTTTTAGACCACTACCCCACCAAGAAGGTGGATGGACATATCATTCTTTGTCCTCTTTCCCTTTAGGCCAAGAAAGACGGAAAAAAAAAAAGAAAAAAAAAAGCTAATAATACATGGAGATTTAATCTCAATCCTCTTTTTTCCTATCACTAAATTCTATGTTGCAATTCAGTCATTGGAAACCAGAAGTTTCCTCAAGGAACGGTATTGTAAACGTACACTTTCCCCGCTCTCAATTATCTCAAGCAAATACCTGCACGAGTGGCAGTATCACATATAAAAACAGATTTCTTGCTGGATCAGTAAAACTTCATGCAATTGATCAGACCGCCAGGAAAACTTGATAATGAAAACCATTAATCTATTAACTGATACGAATCAATATCATTTTGTATAAGTTTTTCTGTACGCAACTAACCAGCCATTCAAACATTGTGACGTTATCACTGCTTCCTTGCCAACGAACTTATCGGGTGTCCGCCTGTTACCCTGTATTATGCATGTTTCTTTCAAGAATCTGTTTGCAGATGTGCAAAAAAAATTCCGTAGCAAGCATATTGTGGATAATTTACCTTGATAACAACCTTTTCATTAACTGAGAAAGGATATTGTACACCTCTTTGTGACCCATTTTCCGAAATAATATCGCCAGTTTCCTAGAGTTGGAGAAAAAAAGTCATTAGATATGGAAGATGCTCCTATCATTTTTCATCCCTTCTTTTGGGGAGTGGGATGGGGTGTAGGCCGGTCTGAGGTTAATTGAATATAAAACCCACTATATTTACATCAAGATACACCACCAAAGATAGAGACAAGAAACTTTGGAGAAAGAATTGCATATTGCAGGGAAAAGTTTTGCTATGGAGCCATCGGATGGCTCGGCTTATGGAGCCATCCACAGTTATTCACAAATAGTGTATTGACACGTGTCCTACAATAAATGCATTTTGGACAAGTGTCAATACACTAAGTCATGGATGGCTCCATAAGAAAACCATCCGATGGCTCCATAGAATTTTTGTTGCAGGGAAACTTCAGAGAAAGAATCTTGAACATCTTAAAGGGAAACTTCAATGGAAACCTACTAAGATCCAAAGATGCAGTTTCTTCAAGTAACTAATGGGGATGTTGATGGAAGCCGCACTAGAAAAAATATGAAAGTTCACTACCACAAGTGATAAAATATAACTAAGAGTAGGTATACATTAATACATACTCCCGTCCAGAATACTAAAATACAAAATCCCTTCCATAGTCACAAGGTCTCCCCTTTCAAAACCCACCACATTGACCCAATTGACCAATTCTTTGTAGTTCTTGTGGTGTTGGATAGAGCAATAAACTAAGAAAATGAGACTGCAAAATGTAATAGTTTACTGGCGATGAAAAAGAAATTTGTAATTTTGTACATAATGAAACCAAATACCTACAAACTTCCCACAATATACTTATATGATATCTGTAAGTAATTCAAAATGTTTCAAGCCTGAAATAATTTACAGCAAAGGAATAATAAACTCGCCATGCAACAACTTTTATAAATTAATCATTATCCAGCCTACAAAAAAACTGGAGGTGATATTCCCGCTCACTCACCTCGCTTGAAAACAAAACCATGCCAAGAAAGTTTTAGTTCCCAATGTTTTAGCTTTTCAAGATCCACAGTTTCTAAACAAATTGGAATATACTGAATTTTCGAACTGAAACTAATCCATGCCTTCAGCTCCACCATCACTTTTTGAATGTATTCCACAAAAGTTTGATACGCTCTTCCATCTCCAAATTTTAGAATATTAGAATACTAGTCTCAAAGTTCTACTTCCAATGTTTTAGTTTTTCAAGATCCACAGCCTCGAAGCAAATTGGAATACACTGAGTTTTCGAACTGGAACTAATCCGTGCCTTCAACTCCACAGTTTCTAAACAAATTGGAATATACTGAATTTTCGAACTGAAACTAATCCATGCCTTCAGCTCCACCATCACTTTTTGAATGTATTCCACAAAAGTTTGATGTGCTCTTCCATCTCCAAATTTTAGAATATTAGAATACTAGTCTCTAAGTTTTACTTCCAATGTTTTAGTTTTTCAAGATCCACAGCCTCGAAGCAAATTGGAATACACTGAGTTTTCGAACTGGAACTAATCCGTGCCTTCAACTCCACCATCATTTTCTGAATGTATTCCAGAAAAGTTTAATGCTGCTCTTCCATCTCTAAATTTAGGGCATTAGAATACTATGCTCAAAGATTAGTTCCGAAAATTTTAGTTTTCAAGATCATTAGGGGCATAGTGCAACTTTAACCAAAAACTATTACGCAACATAGAAACTGAATGAAATATTTGGGACATCCGAAAAGGGTAACTAAATAGTATGGTTAGGATAGAGGGAGTAGTACTAGTATTACTTTACAGATTTTTGTTGAGGACATCTTTTAAGTGAGCCGCTACTAAACAACATTTGCACACAGAAAGAGTGGTTACAGACAAGAAAGTTAGCATTTAAAAAATATGTACCCTGAGCTCACTTGCCTCTCTACGGCGTTTACGAAGAGTTGCATTATGAAATAGTCTGCGTTCATCTTCTTGCTTCACTGCTACAGCTGCTGCTCTCAAAGCTGAAAGAGACCACAGTCATGAGTAACAAAGAATATGCAACAGGCTAAACATAGATGACTTTATATGGCATCCAAGACTTCAAGTGCTCACACGTATGTGAGTTTTTGCTCACCCACGAGAGCCAGACAGACACACACACACACACACAGACAGAGCATATTAATGACTCCTCGTTACCATGATTAGGGACCAAAGACTCGGCTTCAATTTCTGAATTGCAGAGTGGACATTTTGACTGTAAATGTACAAAACAGCTTTAGTTTGTCTAAAAGAAAAAGGAAAGAGATAAATTAAAAAAAAAAAAAAAAAAGACTAAATATGGGTTCCACTCACAGTTTCAATGACCTTCCTCAAACTAAGACCACCAAAAGAATGCCCACACGATACTAGCATTGCATCCTCAAGGAATGCACCACTGCAGATTCCTCAGTTTCAAGCAGGTAAAAGTTAGAACCATCACATGCAATGACAAAAATATAGTATCTACCCACTGCTTATGTTTAATATCACCTAGTGCAAGGTTTACTACAATAATGCATATAGTATACAGAGGGATGGCTCCAAATCATGGAGCTTCAATTATATGTTAAACTACATGAGGCCGATCATCTCTGAGATAATATAACCACATTTCAGTGCCACATGTGCATCAAGGTGAAAAGTAGCACAGGGACACTTAGGTTTGGTAAAGGGAGGAACAGTGCATTTTTACCACAATAATACACATATTTAGATTTAGTTGAGTAGCAGTAAAAATGAAGAACTAGTCTTCGTTTGATTAAGAAAGCAAAAGGTGAAAAGAAAAGAAAGGCAAGAAATGGATTGTAGGGGTCTATTACGGTTGTACCTTTCTGATGGCTTCTCCCCTCCAAAACAGGCGGATATTTCTATATTTCCCTCCAAACACAACCATCAACAGAGTTTAGTATGGAGCTGTTAAATATCTAACGGCAGGACTAATTTGTCATTTCTTATGGACCTAAATTGCTACTTTGGAATAAATCTGAACAAAGAGTAGCCCAATGGGACAAAATCTGCAAGTTTCTTAACATAATGAAATAGAAAGAATTGTAGACTTCTCAAGGATGGACAAGGATTATTATTAGTAAAGTACCAATCACTAAGAACATAAACAACGATAACTGAAACGATGTGACATGAGTAAAACTTACGATATGGGATCTGACAGGACACTTCTCAATGATGGTTCCCTGTTCATATTATCTGCAGGTACCTGTTGTTGCAGACTCAGAATGAGACTCTCATCATATGTGATAATCATACTATCTTCTAGGAGCTCGGAAATTCAAGCAAATTACTCCTTTGAAAAAGGAAAGGCAGTCCAATCCAAATATATAATCTCCTAGATCTATTGCATCTTATGAGAAAATCAAAAACAACTAAAAGCTGCTATCTCATTTCAAGACCGAGAAAGTAAGAAGTAAAAACGAGAGCAGATGCCATCAAAAGGGTTTAAAATTAGAAACCACATAAACGATATACTCCATCAGTCAACAGATACTTTTAGAGCTATCTCACAGGCAACACTGATTAGCACTGGAGCTTTACCAAATCAAAGGCATGGGATATTAAGTTCCGTGACAATCAAAAGCAAAGGTTCATCATTTTCAACTCAATTGATGGCTTCTAACATTTTGGAGAGGTGCTTACATAAGCATGATCAGTATTGCCGTCTTCCACATCAGATAGGTCATCCATAAACTGGCTTACAGATATTGGCACATAGCTTTGAGGAATTACATGCCCAGCTGCTGCAATTGGAGTACAATCCAGTATGGCATTGACTTGAGGCATGAGTCTAAATGCCAGTGATATCCTAGTTGAAAAAAGTTAGTCTCAAGCTTCAAACAATCACAAGAGACAAACCAAAGCTTCCAAAGTATATACCTTCCACCACTTGGAGGGATCAAAAGATTATCAGGCGTGGCCCGATATGAAGCAGCAGGGCGAAGTCCAGCAGTTGCATGGCTGAGAGCCTTTCCTGTGAGAAGTAAAAGGTCCCCGGGTGCCATGCTACTATCTGCTTGGTACCAACGGCCATTAGGGTCACAAACCTATGGCAAAATTGACGAACTCAGATACTGATTCCATGAATAATATACCTATCAAACTATATGATGGATTCAGAGCCAATGGTTCAATGTATTGGAATAATAAGATCTTCAAACTGAAAGACATAATAAAAGGAAATCCACAATAAAAGAATAAGTATTATACCATTTACGCATATTAAGATACGTACCTGAAGACCTGGAGCATCTGAGGAAACCAGCATTAACAACCCCTTCTCCATTTCACAACTCAATGCAGGCTTCCCACCCATAGTTACACATTTTCCTCGTTGAGGGGATATGTTGGGAAATGTGGCAACAAGAACTGATGAAGATGCTTCATTAGCAGGCAATGGGCTATCATCTAGCAAGTGATTGAAAACACTGCAAGAAATAGCAAATTTATCAGTTACTGAACAACAACACCACCACCACCACCACCACCCACCCCACCACCTGCTCACCAGCGCACCTTAAAATAAAAGAAAAAGGAAAGAGTTCACATTTCTTACTCGCTTCGTAGTCGAAGGTGTCTCGCTATTGCACATAATGCTGCTCGAGCAGCCCTTCCCATGCATCTAAAAATGTCAGCCATGCATGGTGGAGATGAATCAATATCTTCTAAAGGCCTGCAAAAAAAAATAGGTCATTGGAGTGTCAAAATTGTCATAGAGGAGAGCCGGTAAGAGAAATAATATAAACTTCCATTCCGAACGACTCAGCAACTTGGCAACACAAAGTACTAAGAAATTTATAAAGAGACAAGTTAGTCGAAATAAAAAACCATCTTGAATATCTAGAGAAATAAATAACAATTTCAGAAGTGACTTGAGAGTCAATATTGACGTAAGTGCAACCATTGAGCTAGAATCTGATTCTTGACCAAAATGCAACATGGATTTCTGACATTCTTGAGAAGAAAAGAAACAGCAATACTGCAACAAAGTCTTTACCGTACTATGTGAGGCCTGCTGTCTGAACTATATCACACAATGTCAATAGCCATACTTGAATTATTTCAAGAAAGCATTGATAACAAAAAGAAAATATTCACGAGAGCAAAAGGTGAACAAACGCTTTTGTGCCATACTTTAATTTTAAGAGCTCACAGAGCCAGCAAACAAAAGTAATCTACACAGGTTCAAGAGACAGTGAAAATGGCAATGTCACTTATGCCCACAGTATGTATTGACATAAGAAAAGAGTATCATTAAAAAGGAGAATTCCATGCAACCAAGATAAACATGAAAACTGACAGAAACCAAGATAAGCATTAAAAACTCTAGTTAGTGAAACTAATTCGCAATCAATCGGCTAATAAACTCTAGTACTTGCAGCATTTTCCACTCTGCCAGTAACTGGGCTACCTTTCCAGACTGAAATATGCCAGAATCAGTTTTACCTAACCTACTTTTTTTTCTTTCCTGCATTTTGTTCATTTAAGTTGAGACTGGTCAAATATCTTCCCCATACTTAAGGAGATTCACAAATCCCAGAAAAGGCCCAGAGTAAAAAAAGAAAGAAGTAACACGTCATAACTTGGAAGGTGACCAACATCGTGTTCCAACTTCTTGATAGATTACGCTGAGACATCCTTCCATATCCGGTTGTTATCCATATCTAACAATCAGCTCCCAGCTTAGCTAAATACCATAATTTGTAGGACAGAATTACAAGAGAATCATTAAGCTCTAAAGTATCTACCATGGAATTTACATATATGTCTTAAGACATAACACGGTAGAAGTGGGCTAACTGATGATCGAGGCCATCACGAGCTTGTAGCTCATGTGATATGCTCGCCCATTACAAGGGGTGCTGCGCTGGTAATACATGTTTGATCTGCTACCTTCAGTTTATTAGGAACGACTCCCCTCCCCTCAGCCCCCCAGTAACTATTTTAAAAAACTGGTGGTTGATGCCTAAAACGATGTATCATAGGCTCTGTCCTATATTCTGATTGTGAGCAATAAGTTTTGCACGAATGGCACATTGTGGATTGTGCTTGAGAAGGTGAAATGGGAAAATTGGAAATTGACTTACAGTAAGTAACAATAAATACAGCATGGACATTAGGAGAGGAATTTTGATCACTAAAATAGAGGAAATTCCCAAATTTAACTTCGCCAGTATCTGCTTATTTAATCCGGTGCTGGGCAATGAGCTAGCAAACCAATACATGGCAGAACAACTGAGTTAAGAGAATCACGCCTTCCCCTAAAAACCATAGATTATTTCTCAAAATCCTCTACAAAATCATATCAATAGAACTCCAACAGTAGCTTAAGATTGGCCTAGCCAGTGAAGGGCCTAAGAACACTCCAAAATCAACATAATTTTATCCCACCAAGAATATTACCAGCATAAGTAGGGAACACAAACCATCCATAGAGTATCAAGTTAAAGAAGGTTGTGGGAGTGTCAGCTGCTAACCTTCCAGCCCTGTAAGTGTAAACTCCGCGGCCACTTTTCTTGGAACGGAAATAAAATCGGGCGGAATCGAGGGCACAGCGGAGGAGGGCGGCGTCATGGGGACCCAGCTCAATGACAGCTGCGTTGTGGCGCATGAGGGACACGGACAAGGTGTCTACAGCCTTTACGTAGGGGGCCATAGGAGCTCCATCATAGGGCAAAATGTCGGAGAGTCGAATTCTACAGGGCACTTCCAGAGAGAGGGGAGAAGCCGAGTGATTGTGAATATGATGGGGAGACCTAACAATGGGAATCGCCGTCGGCGGGTTACAGGAATTCTGATGCTGATGCGTCACCATCGATCATTTGATGGTGTCCAAGTTTGGTTAAGGAGGGAGGAAATATGATGAGCTGAAAATGGGTCGCGCTCGAATAAATTATAATTTATTAATTAATTACGTATTGTTATGAAATACGGGGAATATAAAGAACACAATGTAAAAACCGAATCAAAATTATTACAAGCTTTTCTCTCTTTCTTTCTCCTTCTTTTCGTACAGATTTGTAATACATCACTTGCCTTTTTATAGGCAAATGTTGGCACACATACCAATACACAAACTAATATAATAATGATAGGATAATAAATTAGTGGTA